AAGGGCATATATGTGGGTTACAGGTTTGATCCTATGTGCAGGAGGCAACCAATCAATGCATCTCTCACATCAATCTTTCTCTCTTTCTCTATCTCTCTCCTTCCCTCTCTTCCACTCTCTCTAAAAAAATCAACGGAAAAAGTATCCTCAGGTGAGGATTAACAAATATATATATAAAATAAGCCCCCCCCCCAAAAAAGAACAAAACTTTTTCACATAGAGACAATAACAACAACAAATATTAAAATAAATAAATAAATAAAGTAAGTCCTGGCTCTGGCCAGTTTGACTCAGTGGTTAGAGTGCCGGCCCGCGGATCAGAGAGTCCTGGGTTTGGTTCCCATTAAGAGCATGTACCTTGGTTGCAGTTTGGGGTCGTGTGGGTGGCAACCAGTTGATGTGTCTCTCTTACATGGATGTTTCTCTCTCCCCCTCCCACCCCGCTCTATCTGAAGATAAATGCAAAAATGTCCTTGGGTGAGGATAAAAAATAAAATAAGTCCAGAGCAATAATATAAGAAAAAGACATAAAAGGCATCCAAATTGGAAAGAAAGAAGTAAAACTGTTTCTATCTGCAGATGACATAATATGATATGTAGAAAACCCTAACTATTTCACAAAAAAACTGTTAGAACTAATAAACAAATTCAGTAAAGTTGCAAGATACAAAATCAATAAACAAAAATCTGTGCATTTCTATACACTAATAATGAATTATCAGAAGAGAAATTAAGAAAACAATCCCATTTACAAATGCATCAAATATAATAAAATGCCTAGAAATAAATTAAACCAAGGAGTAAAAGACCTGTACAGTGAAAACTGTTAGACATTAATGAAACTAAGAGAGACACAAATAAATGCAAAGACAGTCTACGCTCCAAAGCAATCTACAGATTCAATGCAATCAATCCCTATCAAAAGTCTGAAGGCATTTTTCACAGAAATAGAATAAACAGTCCTAAAATTTGTATGGAACCATAAAAGACCCGAAATGGCCAAAGTAATCTTGAGAAAAGAGAACAAAGCTGAGGCATCACACTCCCTGATTTCAAACTGTATTATAGGCTCTCCCTCTCCTTCCCACCAGGGCACATTACCTTTGCCTTTCTCTCCTCTAAGCTCCAAGGGCCTTCTTCTGCCTCTGTAACTTGTTTCTTGAGCCTATGAAACCCAGCTGGCTCACTTCTACTAATTAACTTTCTAAATAAACGTTTGCTTATATCTTGAAAAATAAACCCCAAAATTGTATTACATAACTATAGCAATCAAAACAGTGTAACACTGGCCTAAAAACAGACACATAGATCAGTAGAGGAGATCAGACAGCCTAGAAATAAACCCACACATATATGGTCAATTAATTTACGACAAAGGAGCCAAGAAAATATACAATGGAGGAAGAGCAGTCTCTTCAATAACTGGTGCTAAGAAAACCAGATACATACAATAAATGAAACTGGACCACTATCTTACACCATGCACAAAAATTAACTCAAAATGTGTTCAACACTTGAATGTAAACCGTGAAATCATAAAACTGCTAGATCAAAACATAGGCAGTAAACTCCCTGACATTGGTCATGGTGGTGATTTTTTTAAATCTGACACAAAAAGCAAAAATAAACAACTGGGACTAAACCAAACTAAAAAGCTTCTGCACAGCAGAAACCATCAACAAAAGGAAACCATCAACAAAATGAAAAGGCAACATACGGAATGGGAGAAAATAATTGTAAATCATGTATCTAATCAGGACAAAGAGCTAATATCCAAAACATATAAAGAACAAAAATAAGCAAACTAAAAAAACACCCCAAAACATCCAATTAAAAAATGAGAGGATTTGAATAGACATATTTCAAAGAAAACAATCAGATAGCCAACAAGTATAAGAAAAAATGCTCAACATCAATACTGATCAAGAAAATACTATCAAAACCACAATGAGAAAATCAAATCATCCCACATCTGTTATAATGACTATTAAGAAAAAGAGAAGGAATAACGTGTTGACAAGAATCTGGAGAAATGGAACTCTTGTGCACTGTTGGTGGAAATGTAAATTGGTACAATCACTAGAGGTTCCTCAAAATATTAAAATAGAACTACCATATGATCTAAAAATTCAATTTCTGAATATTTTTCCAAAAACAACAAAAAACACTAATTCAAAAAAATACTGTTGACTCTCCCCATATACATGGGTCCCACACCTGTAGATTCGACTAACGGAGATTGAAAATATTGGGGAAGAGGTGGTGTTATGTTGTTGTTTCTTTTTTTTTCTTTTTATCCTCACCTGAGGACATTTTTTCCCCATTTTTTGTTCAGATAGAGTGGGAGGGGGAGAGAGAGAAAGAGAGAGAGAGAGTGTGAGAGAGAGAGAAACGTGGATGTGAAAGGGTCACATTGAGTGGCTGCCACTCGCACGACCAACCAGGGTTGGGGACAAACTGCAACCAAGGTACGCGCCCTTAGCGGGAACGAACCCAGGTCTCTCTGGACCGCAGGCTGACGCTCTAACTGCTGAGCCAAACCGGCCAGGGCCAGACTTTCTTCTTATTATTCCCTAATCAATACAACTATTTTCATTGTATTAGGTACTATAAGTAATCCAGAGATTATTTAATGTAAATGAGAGGATGTCTATAGGTCATATACAAATACTATGCCATTTTATATAAGGGACTTGGACATCCACAGATTTTGGTGTCTTCTAGGATGTCCTGGAATCAATCTCCTGTGGATACTAAGGGATGATTGTATATCCACCCCATGTTCATTGCAGCATTATTTGTAATAGCCAAGACATGGGAAAAACCTAAATGTTCTTAGATGGATAAATAAAGAAAATACACACACAAATATTATTTGGCCATTAAAAAAAGCTAATAAATCTTGCCATTTATGATAATATGGATGAAACTTGAGGGCTTAATGCTAAGATCAGTCAGAAAGAAAAAAATAAATACTGTATGCTCTCGCTTATATGGGGAATCACTAAAAAAAATTAGCTTATGAATATAGAGAACAAATTGGTGGTTGCTTTGGGGAGATTGGGGGGAGGGCAAAATGAGTAAATGGGGTCAAAAGGTACAAATTTCTAGTTATAAAATATGTAAGAAAAAATATAAGTCCATTACTTATTTCATTTCTCTATATTATGTGACTAAGACTACACAAATATCTGACTGCACCATTAGAGATTTCTCTAATACAATCTTATAAAACTGAAAAAGATTTTAAAAACCTATGTTCATTATATTAATCCCATGATTAATTTCATTCATCCATACAAAGAAATATGACAAATGTCCCATTAAATTAGTACACCCCAGTACTTTGTTAGTCAATAAAGGCAAAAGATTTATGTGGCAGTTCATTCAAATTGCTCCCTATGATATGATAACTCCTTTCTTTTTACCCCAAGTACTGTATACTTGTTTGAAATTTCCAGTTTACGCCCTGGCCAGTTTGGCTCAGTGGGAAGAGCATCAGCCCGCGGAGAAGAGAGTCCAGAGTTCAGTTCCCACTAAGGGCATGTACCTTGGTTGCGGTTTGGCCCTGGCCCTGGCCCTGGTTGGGGTCGTATGGGTGGCAACTGGTTGATGTGTCTCTCTCACATTGATGTTTACCTCTCTCTCTCTTCCTCCCTCCCTCCCACTCTATCTGAAGATATATGCAAGGGTGTCCTCAGGTAAGGATAAAAAAAAACAAAAAAAAAAACAAAAAAACTTCCAGTTTGCCTCCAAATTCTAATATTCCAAAATTAAAGAGCAAGTCTAAATTTACCTATGAAAACTGAAAAAAAAGTTAAACCTTTTCATTTTTTTATACTTTCCTACCAAAGAATGGTAACATGTTTAGTTTATTCTCAAGAATGTTCCCATTCCCTTTTCCTCTAAATACTTAATGTTTAAGAGTTCCTTTTTATCTGGAGTATTCATTATCTAAGACTCTTCAGTTCCAGGTTATATAGGGAAGTAAGAGTTTTAAATAAATGTATGTATTGGTAAAATGATCATTTATAAACTCATGTCCCAACCTCCCCCCCACCTTCAAATCAAGTGAGTGTCTATGCCTGCTCATCATGCCATTATTCTCTTACTGACTATAGATTTGTAAACACCTGACATATAATGCAAACACAATGCAAACTGACTGCAAATTAAACTACATCACAAAATACACAAGACTCATAAATTAATGAAAACGTGTTGAAAAAAATGCTTGGAATCATATAAATAATCTTGAACAAATAAGACTTATCAGTTAAAAACTGAAAAAGAAAATCAATAAGGATGACACTAGATTTTAAAAAAAGTTTTTATGAACATCAAAGAATTAACGGAAGGTTGGTTACTAAAAACTCAAGTATTTTTACAAAAATGACTTTCGTTATAATTACAATGCGAGTGAAAAATGATAGCAGCATGTGCTTTATATCCTGATTTCAGAATCTAGAACTACAGAAGATGCAACTCCCCTTTAAGAAATCCTGGTACCAAATTACACATAATTTAAAAGGTTATCTTCCTTTTATTCATTATGTGGAATACGGGATTAAATTATAAAAAGTATTCTATAAATTAATTTAAAATCCTAAAAATACAATTTTCATTTCAAGTTGTGAAAGGAGCAGTAAATTCCTGATTGCGGGTACCAATTACTACCTGTGATGGCAAGAGAACACTCAAAAGACCTATAGAAACTATTTGCAAAAATAGAAAAGATAAAACTTTCATAAAGTTAGAACAACACTACAACATTTTGTCTCACAAAGAGACAATAAAAGCCAACTGATGAACTGTACTGACTTATTATCCTCCTACAGGCAGTCTACAAAATGTTTTTACTAAGGTGTTGAACAACTGACTCACTGCAGAGTTGGATTTCATCTCATTCAATAGAACATGCAAGCTTTCAATCGGAATTCTCTATAAGAGGTAACCTTTGTGATAAATGAACCATCAGAGAAGATTCTAATAAAACTTACCATTGTGTATTGCATTCAGCAACTCTGAGAAAGCTTTTAAGTAAGGAAAAAAGGACTTCAGGTTAAGATCATTCTCAAACACACAAAAGAAATACATAGGCACAGACTGAATCAGTATGATAAAATCTCAGTAAATCTGTCAGGTATCATTGCCTGAATTATTAAAATTGCAAGCTCATTTTTTACATGGTATAACGTTCTAAATATTGTATTAGTCAATATATTACATACTAAATTTAAATGTCAGATATATCATAATGATGACAAATTTCCTTAGTAATAAATACATATATGCAAAATCACTTTTATTTATTTTGTTTTGCAAAATCGCTTTTAAAAAGATACTTCACAGTTTCTGTAATGTCTTTCTTATAAAAAGTAAGAACCTAGATACAATTCTATATAGGTAAATCCACGTTTGGTCACACTCAACAATATCTGTTATAAAGAAAAAACTCAATTTAACATCTAACCAGATCAAATATATTCATATCCTGGAATTTAGTATAATAGTCTCAACAAGTGTATGAGTCTAAGCAAGAAAGCTATCTAATGCCAATATATAAATATTTAAAAATTATAGTAACATCAAGATTAATGGAAAACAAAATATTACTTAATTGGTGACAAAAGTCACAATTATGCAATGGAAACACCATATTAAAAAGCCAAACAATTAAAATTTGTTCACAATTTGACTGTAATGGATACTGAACACAGGACAAAGCAACAATTAAGATATCTTTGTATGAGAAAGAAATATATTCAATTAAAAACAAATTGCATTTTGGAAAATTAAAATTTAGAGTTTAAGAGGTGGCATAATACACTAGAAAAAGCACTAGAGTAAGAGTCAAAAAGCCTGGGTTTACCAACCCAGATCGACAACTTACTAGTTGTTGGACAAGCTCCATCATGCCGATACTGCATGGAAATTTCTGTTGGGAGGGAGGGAGAAAGGAAATCAGCAAAGAAGTTGCCAGCAACTCAAGAGTAGAAAAAGAAACAGGCCAGAAAAATAGGAAAACATTCACCTAAAAGTCTAGCTGAGAAGGGCAAACAGAAGTGTGGGAACAGAAATTATAAGCCAGTAATTGGGACATGAGGGGTAGGAGGACCAAACATGATGAAATTCTCACAAATCATAATGGGATAGCGTGGGAATATGTGTGTGCATGTGAGGGCAAAGAATGTGGAAAAGACATAAAGGCTTACAAATGAATCTACATAATAAATGTCTAAGAATAAATGGATTAACTACTAAAAGAAGGTATAGTTAGGCGACGTGATAAACTAATGTGTTTTATATAATTTATTAGATGTGAACTATTTATCAAAAATATTTGAATCCTGTGGTCAATTAGAAATTACATTTTAAGTATGAAAATTATTTAGTTTACATATGACCAGAAATTCATTATGATTTCTAGAACAGTATAAAACTCATTAAACTATACTTTCTTGTACCTTTCATTTTTTATGATGCTAATGAATGAGTAAACCATTACTCTTATTCCTTTACCCAAATAAGAACAAGCAGAGGGTGACATGAGGCAAAAAAACACTGTTAAAACCAAAGCTGCTCAGAAGATGGAAAATAAATTCCTATATGACATTGGAAAGGCAAAAAGAGTTGATAAAACCAGGACTAAGGTTGTGACTCACAGCCCTGCTAATCCTGGAAACAACTGGTATTCCATTGTGGCTAACACTTGGCCAAATTCTTTTAAAGGAGGGATATCTGGGAACTCTCTGGATATTACTAAATCAAAAGCATGACCTCTAGGAACCATGTGTACAATAGAGCCTTTCAGGCAACCATCACTCACATGTCTACTACCCACATATGTACCTCAGAAGTTGAGCCTAATCTTGGGCACACTCTGAATAACTTGAAATAAGAAGACAAAGCAAGACAGAGCAAGCCAGCACTCACTGGCAATGATTGTAATGTTAAAAGACTTTTACATTTGATGAAGTTAAAAAAAAAAAAATCTAACATTTAGCCCAGTTTAATGTAACTCCTTTCCAGGGGACACTAAAAAATGAGACACAGTAGGAGAATTTGACACTTTTAATGCTTCATTAAAAAAATCCAATCAATACAAGTGAGATTTAAGAAGGGAATGAGGGCCACAGAAGAGACTAACTGGTACATTATAAAGAAATGATAGCTGTTTGGAATGATGCTGAAAAAAAATCAAAAAACACTCAGAATAGCCAAAGAACTTTCTCAATGGGGGTGGGGGTGGGGGGGGGAGATATGGCTACTCTGGCCTTTGATCTAATACTTTTATAGATAGCTATAGTATAGGTCCAAATTTTCAAGTCATCAAAGACCAAAACAGAACCAGGAATTTTCTAAGAAAGCAAATGCCAAGGTTGTCCTGTTTTAGCAGCATCCAGTTTTATATATGACTTTCATTTATGACTCAATATAATAAAAATATATAAAGTCACAAACCGAGTCATTAAGATAGGTTTGAATCATGTTCAATAATTGTATATACTCTTTGGCCAACAATACTGTATTAGTAACTCTATTCTTGTGAGTTTATTGGATTAATGTTTGTATTTGTGTATCCTTTATTTGTTTATAGAATCAACCTATTCCTAATTAAAATATTTTAACCAGGGAAAGACTTCTCAGTTTCATTTTATAACCTAGGGAGATAAGACACAAATAGGGACATATTTAACAAGAACCCTTTCATAGTTACATGGGCTCAAGCTAAATTTTCATAACCTTCATATTGTCAGAACAAACTGCTCTTGAAGTGATGTTTGTATTAATAAGTCTTCTCCGTGAAATCTTTAAGATTTTAACACTAAGTAGATAGGATCACAACCAAAAGAGTACCTTTCCAGAATCTCCTTCTGTAACATTTATCACCACTAGAGAATTCCATCACTGAAATATATTTCAAGTATCTTAACTTAGGAAGATATGGCATTATATTAAAGAACTAGGGACAACTAAAACTTTTTAAAACAGGGAACCATTTACTTCAAAAGACAGTCTATCAAAAGAAAAACAGTTAATGTTAAACCATCAACTCCTTATCACTGAACGAATACCACATTTTTCTCAGAGAAAATAAAATGTTGATTTTTGTGAAGAAAAAAATGTTAACTTTCTTTGGGGGTCAGTACACAATGGAATATACAGATGTTGCATTATAAAGTTGTACACCTGAAATTTATATAATGTTATTAACTAATGTTACCCTGACTTTCACTTTAGTACATCATAAACTCTCATAATGTGGTTGAGATAAATAGGAAAAAGGAAAAGGACAAACAGCATGTAAACTCTTTCAAATGCTATATTAATTTTCAATGTCTCAAAAGACTTGTTAAGCCTACTTGTTAAGAATGCAAAAGAATATAGGAAAGAATTCAATCAAAAGCTTAAGATAATCTATAAGCCAAAACTTACAACCTTTAGTCATCACTTAAACACACTAATTTTCCATTTTGCATAAATCACGGTTAACGGTAGGTCATTTATCAGGATATACTTTATTATAATACAAATTTTACAATCCAAACCCCTCATCAGACAAGGAGTTTTCTGGGATGCTATTCTGATTGGCTCTGGGACTCCTAGAATATCTTGCTATATATACTCTATTATAATTTCAACAAGTCTTAAGAGAATCACATCATAAAGACCTAATTTATACTTCTGCTTTATATCCTAGTTGTGGTAAAACAGGAGAAATAACAGCAACATCAGTAGTAGTAGCTGTCCTGCCTATTTCACAAGGTTGTTCCAAGGATCAAATGAGGCAGTAAAGAGTTCTTTAGAAACTGTTAGGTGCTCTCAAATATAAGATATTACTATTATTATAAGCTGACAGAAGCAGTATTTTTTTCCATTCATGAAATTCTTTTAATAGTAAGTTGCCAAAATTAAGTCCTGGATATTTATTCTAGAAAAAGACTACTAGCCTATAAATCTGATTTCTTCAGCCTGGTATTAAACTCTATAAACCCATTCAGTCTGCCCTATTTAATTAATATTACCTCCATCCCACAAATACAAGCTTCTTGTTTCTATTAGGTTTGTCTTTCAAATATACCTATACTTTCTTTTCTGATAATACTGCTGACCTTCTTTTTCTGTCTACTCCAAAGTACAATCCAAATTCCATCTTCTGCAACTTAATTATATATCCTAAACGGGCCTATAATACTACATGAAAAGCTTTACAAATGATTAATTTCACTTGCAACCTGGTTATAAACACTTGGAAGGCAAGTACAAAATAACAAAATACTACTAACCACATGATATATTCTCAGTGATTACTATTAGTATTCATTCATTTTTTTAAAAAAGACATTTTAACATTTATTAAGCTCAAAGCGCTGTGCTGGCAGTGAGCAGAGAGTGGTGAACATGACAAACATAGCCCATAACCTCATGGAGCTAGGATTATAGTGCATGTGATAGTCTAACATCATAGCCAACAGGTGCTTACAAAGGTCACTTTCATCATTACTAAATTATGAACCTGTCATTACAGAAAATGAATCTTTTTTAAAGGGCACCATGAAAAACAATTCTTGTTTTTGTTGTGAATCCTCACCTGAGAATATTTTACAACTGATTTTTAGATAGTGGACTGGAAGGGAAGAAGAGATGGAGGGGCAGAGAGAAAGACAATGATTGGCTGCCTCCTGCATGACCATGACTAGAGCCGGGGACAGAAATTGAAACCCAGGTATGTGCCCTTGGCTGGAAATCGAACCCGAGACCCTTTGGTCCATGGGCCAACACTCTAACCCCTGAACCAAACTTGTCAAGGCGAAAAACAATTCTTGATAACATGGTACACAATATATATTTTCTCCTTCCCACTTATTTATATAGTTTCCTGCTTTTACAATTACGGAATGATTTCTCAATCTAAAATTAGTCCAAAGACAATATTAATATTTTCAGGCTAGTAGGAGATTTAACTGTTCCAAGTTTAATTATTGGCTCAAACTCTCTCATTGATCCTGTTCCTTAAAGTATGACTGACGTATACTAGTGTGGTTTTAAACTCCCATCAGAAAACATCTCTTGAACTTTAAATTGTCTGAAATCAAGGAAAATGCACAGCTCCACGACTTAGAGCTGTGAGAATTCTGTCTTCAATTTCTTCTTCTATATGAGTAAATAATACTTGATGCTTGCCAAGTGCTTAAGACAGTGTGTAACATATACTATTTCAACAGCAGTTAGGAATGCCTAATTTATGCCAAGAAGGCATAAATTCTAAATATTCATGTCATTTAGCCAGCTTCTTCTAGGTAAGAACAGACTTTTTAGTACTAAGTTTATCAATAAGAGAGTGCTCTGGTCTAATCCTAAAACTTTTATTAAAATGCATAAAGTTAAAGAATATATTATATCTTGAACAGCTTTAAGTAACAAATCTTATTCCATTAGTATAGCTTTGACTTTAACAAGGCATACAAATTTAAGTAACAACTTAAGCATAAGTTTAAACTTTTTAAGAACAAATTTACAAAAAAAACCCAGGAAGTCTAAATGTAAGTCATTTATTTTCAGGAAATAATATTTATGGGAATTTCTACCTAAATTTGTTTCCCTAATGGTGAGATAAAAGGAATACAAATTCATCTTTTTCTCTCACAGATGTACCACAAACATTGCCCTCTGAAAGTAATAATTATGTAAAGAACACTATTTCTCTCCCATGCCTAAAATCGCCCTAAAACTGTACCAGGGAAGAAAAGCTTTTCAGGAATATAAATCAACTATTTATTTATTTTTTATCCTCACCCGAGGACATTTTTCCATTTTTTGTTCAGGTGGAGTGGGAGGAAGAGAGAGAGAAACATCAATGTGAAAGGGACACATCGAATGGCTGCCACCCACACAACCAACCAGGGCCGGGGACAAACTGCAACCGAGGTACGTGCCCTTAGCGGGAATCCAACCCGGGTCTCTCTGGACCGCAGGCTGATGTTCTAACTGCTGAGCCAAACCAGCCAGGGCTAAATCAATTATTTTAATTACATTAATTTGAAAATAATGTGTTTCAAATGGCATCTACACACAATTTCTGAATTTCACTAATTATCCAACTAGACTTTTTATGTATAGAAAATAAGTAAGGATTGCTTTTCACAAAAGCAAACTCAGGCTTAATTTTCTAAGTTACTCATATCATTACTGTGCCTCTTGTTAAAAAATGAATATAAATTCATTTTTTTTTGAGTAAATTTATCTAGACTTACTTTTTGTGACTAGAGGCTAAAGCTAATTGCTAAGATAAGCTGGTCTCAAATGTCAGTATGTTTCATATTACATAAATAAAATGTATATTCAAGTGTGCAATATATTTAAATATTTTCATGAACTTATTTCTCAATGCAATTTATATATATTTTCCCCCTCTAAAACAGTGGTTCTCAGCAAAGGGAGATATTTGCTCCCTACCCCCTGGAGGGAAACAGTTTTTGATTGGGGGAGTAGGAGTCTTGGGTGCTACTGGCGTCTAGAGGATAGGGCTTAGGGATCCTAATAAGCATCCTACAATGCACAGGACAGCGCTGCACAACAAAAAATACCCTGATCAAATGGCAATAGTGCTAAGATTGAGACATCCTGCTCTAGAACCATTCCTAATGCTTCATGAAACCACTGTTCCATACTCTTCACTCATTTCTAAAAAAACAACACACACATACACACTTCAGAAACTTGTCAAACAAGTACACCACAGGCACTGAAACTAGCTTTAGCTATGAGAAACAGAAAGAAATCCCTGGTGTGTGACCTTAGGCAACTTATTTTACCTGTCTCAGTCTCACTTCTATCAGCTGTAAAACAGGCATTAATTGTTTTTACTTCATAAAACTGTTGTGAGGATTATATAAGATAATAACTATAAATCACTAGACAGGCCCTGGCACACAAAAAAATGGTAGTGCCCTGGCCAGTTTGGCTCAGTAGTTGGAGCTTCAGCCTGCGGACTGAGGGGTCATGAGTTCGATTTCCCATCAAAGGCACACATGTACCTTGGTTGCAGGTTTGATCCCCGGCCCAGAAGGGGGTCGTGTGGGAGGCAACCAATCAGTGTGTCTCTCTCACATCGATGTTTCTCTCTCTCCCTTCCACTCTGTCTAGAAAGCAATGGAAAAACATCCTCGGATGAGGATTGGGAAAAAAAAAAGGTAGTTATAGTATTTTTCACATCTGACCTTTAAACATGCTCTTTTCTCCCTTAGACTGATATCTCTTGAGCTTACTTACTGAAATTATCTGTACAACTATAAAATTCCAATATTCTATATTTATAAAATATGCATGGACATTCATCATTAAATTGTATTTATTATTTTTCCATACTATTTCCTACCATCCTCTCCAATAGAACTGATAAAAATCCATTAATAGTTCATTTCAGCCCAAATCTCCTCATTTCTATAACCAAAAGGACGAGGTTTACAATCAACACATTTAAAATCATTTACCTTAAATTCAAGATGCAATTTAAAATATAAATGTGGACATTTAATTAATATCTAAACTGTTAAGTTTCTGTCTAAAAACATGCATCTTAAAAGTTTTTTAAAAATTGAAAGTAATATTCATCATATAAATACACTTGTCAAAGAAGCATCCCGATGGTGTGAATAACAACATACATAAATTCATTCATATAAATAACAGTAAAAACTGTTAAACATATTGGAAAACAAAAAGAATATAAATCATTTCATATATTTCCTGAAATGTGATTGTTAAAATCCATAAATGTAAATCAGTTATCACTGATTGAAAAATATTCTAGACAGAGAAATTAAAGTAGAATTTGTGTGGGGAATTACTGAGAAAATGAAGGCTGAAATTTAGAGAAAGAAAGCTCAAAAGCAAATACCAATAAAAAATAAAGTGAAAGCCCTGGCCAGTTTGGCTCAGCGGTTAGAGCGTCCACCTGCGGTCCGGAGAGACCCGGGTTTGGTTCCCGCTAAGGGCATGTACCTCGGTTGCAGTTTGTCCCCGGCCCTGGTTGGTCGTGCGGGTGGCAGCCACTCGATGTGTCCCTTTCACATCGATGTTTCCCTCTCTCTCTCTTCTTCTCTCTCCCTCCTACTCTGTACAAAAAATGGAAAAATGTCCTCGGATGAAGATTAAAAAAATAAAATAAAATAAAGTGAAAAAACTGTCACACCTCAAATGTATGTTTTTATTGATTTGAGAGGGAGAAGAAGAGAGAGATGTGAGAGGGAAACATCGATTGGCTGCCTTCTACATGCCCCACACTGGGGATTGAGACCCGCATGTGCCCTGACCAGGAATTGAACTGTTCACCTTTTGGTGCATGAGCTAACGCTCAACCAACTCAGCCCCACCAGCTGAGTTGGTTTTAAAAAAATAACCAGTGGAGCCCTGGCCGGTTTGGCTCAGCGGTTAGAGCACTGGCCTACGTTCCAGAGAGACCCAGGTTTGGTTCCCGCTAAGGGTGTGTACCTCAGTTGCAATTCATCCCTGGCCCTGGTTGGGTAGTGAGGAAGGCAGCCACTCGATGTGTTCCTTTCACGTTGATGTTTCTCTTTCTCTCTCTCTCTCTCTCTCTTTCTTTCTCCCCCTCTCCCTCCCTCCCACTCTATCTGAACAAAAAATGGAAAAATGTCCTCGGGTAAGGATAAAAAAAAAAAATAAAAAAATAACCAGTGGATACAGACAATAGTGTGGTAAAGGTGGGGGAGGGGGAGAGGTAGGGAGGGGGAGAGGTAGGGAGGAGGGAGTTAATAGGGGAAAACGGGGTACATCCGTAATACTTTCAACAATAAATTTTTAAAAAATACTGTGTAAGTGAAGGAGAAACAAAAATGGGAAATGAATTCTAGGTGTTTCATAAAAAAAAGACCAATAAACTATTTAGCCTATATTTAATTAAGTAGTATCAGATTAGTACCAAACATCTTTTCCAAACACCAAATTGTCTAAGATCATAACACATTTTTTCATTAAGATAATTAAATGTTACTTAGCAACTCATATATTATCATAACAATAGTTTAAAGTTAATTTACTTTTTGAAGTAATGGAAGAGTAGTGGTGGTGGAAGGGAGAAAAACAATAGGTAAATCCCTACCTGAACCAACTGGAGATGAGCCAACACTAAGACTTTGTAAACTTCCATTCCTGAGCAATGTAGGAGATTTTTGAAGACTAGAGCTTGTTATACTTCCTGCAGCTGATGCTACAGATGATGTTGGTGAAGCAGAAGAAACTGAGAGATGAGAAACATTTTCTTGATTTTTGTTTCCTTTGGGTCTACCAGGCCCATGCTTACTTTGTTTATTTCCTTTTCTTTTCTTTTCCTTTACAGTGTCTTCTTCTATGCCAGATGTTTGAGCCCGCTTATATCCTGCTGTAGGAAGGCTGGAATTACCCAAATCTCCAGGTGAGTTTTCAAAGTTTTTAGGCTGTGAAATAACAGCTGAGGTCGAAGGGAGACCAATTATGGAACTAAAACTATTTACCCCCCCTTCCTGGCTTCCAGACTCTCCTTTATGTACATCTTTGGTTGATGATGACTGTTGGGAGTGAATATAACTGTCATTACGTAGATCTGAGTCTGTAAAGCTCAAGAAATCCTGGGGAGACTGAACTGAACTTCCCGAAGATGATTTTACACTGCCTGGAGTTCCTGAAAAACTACCTGTAGTAAAAGAAAAAAAAAGAAAGAAACGAAAAAGAAAGGGGTGGGGGGAGGAAATAGGAAAAGAAAAAAATTGGATGCAAAAGTTCCCACAAGCAGTAGAAATGACACAATCATCAAAAAAAGAGGGTGAAAAAAAATTACTATAAAACCTAGGACACATCACTTATGTAACAAAGGTAGATTTTAAAAAGGGTTATTACTGAAAACAAGTTTATCTATAAAATTATCTTTAAAAAAATACTTGTCATTTTATAGTTATTAAATTGAATCACAAACCGTTACTTACACAATTACCAAGATATAAGATATAAGCTTTATTTAACCTTCCGTTTACTATGGCTGCATTCCTCAATTCTCCCCCAAATATGTGTATACTTGAGGAAGGACCAAAGAATAGCAGTCTCAGGAAGACTTTGACAAGACTACAGTTGGACTCTGAATGGCTAGGGGAACTTCCTCTTTTTTAATTACTGAAGATATATATGATTATAAATGTTCCCAACACACAATAAGAACCAAAAGATGTTTCTTAGGTTGTAAGTTCTGAGTTTTTACTTCTAGATAATGTTGGTGAATGTTGTAATTCATTTAAAGCTACCCCACCAAAACACAGATTTAATCAATAATAATAATCACACAGAATCTAATCTATATACCTTACATTCTCAGTCCACTTCCCATGGAGCAGAATAAAGAAAAGAAACCAGCCACTAACATTCTGCTATTGTTTTTCTGAAAGTAAAGTCATAGGAGAGGCTCATCTCATGAATCTCTTTCACAACTTTCCATACTCTTAGGTAAAGAACTTAAGTAGCCCCACACTTCATTATGAGCTATAAGAACCTCAGATTCTTATTAACCTGGTAGAAAAATAATATGATTGAGATGAAACAACAGTTTGGTTCATCATCCCATTTCACCAAACCCTCTCTTCATGCTTGCCAAATAAAATAAGCAGACTTAGTTGTGACCACATATGTTTCATAAAACTAAACTATATCATATTTTCACTAATGGATTTAGAAACAAAAGCTCAAAATAAAGTGTTTTATTGGAGTGGAAAGAAAATTTCAAGCTAAGTATTAGATTTTATTGTAGAGAACATTCATAAGTAATCATACATAAATCCACCTAAATATTTACAAAGATATATTTTTCTCACACAGAAGAATTTCTTTTTAACTAAAGTATCAAGGTTTTTATTTTTTTATTTTAAGATCTTCTGAAATGGCTTATTTATAAAGAACATTAATAGTTTAAAATTTAACTTTCAACACGGTATCTGTTTTATGCATTTATAAAAATATGTGTTCCCACGTCAAGCATTTTCAGGTTATGTCTATATATAAAACCATACATATTAAGAAGCTATTTACATTACATCAATCATTTAAGGATAACTGCAGTTTGCCACTTAATTAGCAACTATAAAGAAGTTCTTTATTATCCATTCTGATCTGTCATCTTTTTTTCTACACATTTTTGTTTTTACAGCTGGTGTTAAAAGCTCACTACAGTGTAGCAAATACTTTAAAATACTTAGTATAACCCAGTATTTTAAATGCGTGTTTTCTAAAATGCCCATATTACCTGCAATGAAGAAAATAAAACCAATTATTTTAAATACCCTACCTTTATATTTCAACTTTTAAAACTTTTATAGACTATTACCTCAGATATGAAAAATAAAAACAAAAAACCATATTCACTACCATGTCTTAACAGAGGCAGGAAAAGACTCAATACTGTGAAACTTAAGAAAATGAGAGATTCCTTTTCTAAATGAATTAGTACTTCAAAGACATTAAAGATTCAAAAATACAATTTTAACAGTGGAAAATAAGGTCTTAATTGTAGAAAAGAGATGACTGAATTCTGCTAATATCACATTAAAAATGTGAATGAAGTTACATTAAAAATTAAGGTTTTACTATTTCTCTTCCACAATGGCATAAAAAGAAAAACTTATTAAAATAAAACAACAATTTTAGCATTTTATTTTTCTATTTGTCTACTTTTGTATTGTAAGGCTATATATATACATATATGTGTACACACACCACATTTATATATTACTTGAAGATCTTGAAACCCAAAATAACTATGAATATAGTGTTTAATAAGGTCAGCAGACTAAGCAATCTCTCTACATATTCAAATTATATCCTAGTACATTTCAGATACAATTTTTATTATTAGCAAAAGTTTAAATGGAGTAAAGGACCATTTTTCCCCCTCAATTACTCCTAACGGGCAAAAAAGGGGGAGAGGGCATTTACTGTATACTTACTAATATATTTATAAGTACTTTTAACACAGTTCTCAAAAAAAATTATGTTCATTTAAAAAATTACACAAAGTTAAAACCTAGAACATAGGGCTAATGTATTCTAAAGTTTAGCTGAGTTACTCTGTTCTCCATAAAAGAGGGTTGCCATGTAAAACGCGATTAATTTTAAATTTCATTAAACAACACATTATTTTTCAACTGGGCATGCTATAAATATAGCAACCTTACCAAAAGATATGTAGGATGAGCAAAATTCTACTTTAAACATCAAGCTTTATACTAAATGCATTAATAATCAACAACTACTATTTCCTGAGAACGATTTAGATCCCCCAAAAATTACTCAGCACTGTTACTTACTAAAAATATATACTTTTAACTATTTTAGTGTATAATTATGAAAGGTAAATAAAAACAATTTATAAAAAAGAACTGTTCTATAGAGCAAAAAGGAAAACTCCAGCTTTTGTTGATTTTTTCTCCCCAGACTTAAACTTTATTCCATATCTATTTAAACATTAAAATTACAGTTCAACTTTGGAAGGACATGTCATAACACAAAAACAGCAAAAGTCCTCAAAAACATTTTAACAAAGAACACTAGTCTTGGAAGTAATCTTACTATAGCAACTAATCATAAAATAATTTCCAATGATCCATTAGTTATAAATATATATATATTTTATAAAACTTAACTACTATTGATCATAAGAATAAGTATTTTAACTAAAACATTATAATTAATACCTTGCTGGAAAGGACTAGCTGCTGACACAGTCGTTCCTGGATTTCTTCCACCAGGCTTTCTTCCCCTTTGACCTGAGCTGTGAGTTGAAGATTTCTTCCCTTTGCCCTCTGACCCTCTAGCCTCTGAAACATCTTTTCCACTAGTTGTATGGGCAGAAACTTCCTGGAAATTTGCATTTGTAAATCGTGCTGCAGTATCTTCCAAGCGCTTCAATGATCCAGATATAGAGTTGCTGCTAGTGCTCGTGTAAGTCTTAACATTTTCATTGAGAAAGGAAGTAAAAGGAAAAAAACTGATTACAATTTTGCTACAGATACAAAATGATGGAACATTAATAACAAATAATTATTGGACTTGAAAGATAAACATATGCAAGTTTCCATTATAAAAAATGTCAGTCCACCTAAGCAAATTATGTAAAAACAACTACTTTAGAGTCTGTTACAAATACTAGTTTTAAAAATGTAGATAACTTATACTATGGCTGTTTGAGCGTCAAACTGAAGCAATTAGTAAAAATAAAAATCAGGCATATTTATGCTGTGATACCGTAAATAATACTGCAGGTATTTGTTTCTCAAGCAACAGCATTTTCAACAAGAACATACTACTTCCTACACCTAAAATTAAAATCAGCTTTATTGTTCAGCACAGGAAGGCAACAACTAGAAGTGAAATACTACAAACTGATTAGAGGAATATATCCATGAGATTATAAGAATTGCTAGCACAGGTTAGAGAAAGAATTTTAAAATTCAGGTGAAGGCTGCTTTTCAAAAAAAAAGATTAAAGAGAAATTATTTCTTCCAAGTACTAAGGTGAGAAAACAGTTATATTGTAGAGTTAAGATTTTTAAAATTTAAAGGTATTATTTTACCCTAAAATTAATTCTCAATCACCCCCTTAATCTAGATATGTTAGGGAAAAGAATAAAATAAAGATTTGTTTAAACAATCAGTTTCCAGTTTTTAACAATCATTCTAATACAAATTATGTGCAAATAACAGCAAATTAAATGACTGTGAAAATGAGAAAATGTGTTACACCGATGTATATTAACTAACATGCTTCAAACTGAAAGTGTGTATGGTCCATAGGGTCTGGAATTTTTGTTGCTACTGTTAAGTTCAATAAGTACCTAGAATATAAACAGCCCTAAATGTCTGTTGGATAATATATTAAATATTCATCTAATACATATATCTGAAATCTCTGATGCAGTATAAATGAAAAACTAAAAATACACAAAACTGAAATTTCTCACATATTACCACCACGTAAATTTGAAAAATCAGAAAGTGACAATAAAATCTGGTTTCAAAAGAGTTGGCATTTTTAGCAAAATCAATGTGCAGAAAGAAAAATGAGAGAATACTTCAAATGTTTTGAAAATTAAATATTCTTCACTACTACTTTTCTGCTATCGTTTCCTGGTGCTTCCATCACCCTCCATCGTCTCATTGCTAGTTACAGATTTTCACAAACAAGACATTATCTCATAAAAACAAACTATAATTAGTATTCTTTTTTTTTTTTTTATCCTCACCTGAGGACATTTTTCCATTTTTTCATTCAGATAGAGTGGAAGGGAGAGAGAGGAAGAGAGAGAGAGAGAAACATCACGTGAAGGGACACATCGAGTGGCTGCCACCCGCATGACCAACCAGAGCCGGGGACAAACCGCAACCGAGGTACGCGCCCTTAGCGGGAACCGAACCCGGGTCTCTCTGTACCGCAGGCCGATGCTCCAACCGCTGAGCCAAACCAGCCAGGGCTATAATTAGTATTCTAACAAAGGGTTTGATGTAAACTTCAAGAGAAAACACACTTTCATTTAACAATGGTTAACTTCACAGATTATTTCATAAAACATGACCACCACCCACTTCACTTCTCAAATAATTTTCACCAATAACTAGAATTGATCCTGAGGTTTTCCATCCCACTCATATACAGTGATACCTCGGTTCTCGAACGCCTCGGTTTTCGACCAAATCGGTATTCGACCAGGAGATTCGAGAAACTTGTCTCGGAATCCGAACAAATATTTGGAACTCGAACTTCCGAGATGAGCCGAGTTGAGCCGAATGGCGTTCATTCGGCCCAGCGCGCCTTGCTTGCGTCATCAGTGTGAGTGCAGAGAGAGAGTCACGCTTTGTGGAGTCACGCTTTCCTATTGGGTTTCATTGCTTCGGTTCTCGACTGTCCTCCTGGAACGAATTATGTTCGAGAACCGAGGTATCACTGTTATGACCCTAGAGAAGTTTAAAAGTCATCTAAAGAAAACACAGTATTTCTTCATGCATGTTCAATACGTTCTCCATGCATCAAATAAGGAAAGGAGAGAAAACTGGGTGGGGTACCAAAAGTAGAATACATTAGTTGCTTCCACATAGCAATCTAAATCAAGGTTGGTAAATTCTCCCATTCATTTAACAGAACATCCTTGTTTGCCCCTGGAGTATAAATATACCCATAAGTCTAAGGAAAACATGACATTTGGAAGAAAAGGTATTACAAAGAAAGCAATGAATAAAAATTAAACAAATTTCAGTGACAAAAGTCCTATTAAATAAAACACTTAAAAAAATTTTTTTCAATTACAGTTGATACACAATATTAGTTTCACATGTACAACACAGTGTTAGGTAGTACTTATTATATGCCTTATAACATAACATTTTATTTAAAAAAAACTTTCAAGTTTCAAAAGATATCACAGATTTGTTTTTTTATCTCCTCACCCGAGGACATTTCCCCATTTTTTGTTCAGATAGAGTGGGAGGGGGAGGGGGAGAGAGAGAGAGAGAGAGAAACATCTATGTGAAAGGGACACATCGAGTGGCCGCCACCTGCACAACCCAACCAGGGCCGGGGACAAACCACAACCGAGGTACATGCCCTTAGCGGGAACCAAACCCGGGTCTCTGTGGACCACAGGCCAACGCTCCAACCACCAAGCCAAACTGGCCAGGGCCAGATTTGTTTTTTTAAATCCTCACCTAAGTATATGTTTTCATTGAATTTTTAAGAGAGAGAGAAAGGAAAGAAGGGGGAGAGAGAGAGACAGAAGCATTGATGGGTTACCTCTCATAAGCGCCCGACTGGCCGGGGATAGAACAGGAAACCTAGGTTATGTGCCCAGACTGGGAATCAAACCTGCAATCTTTTGGTGTATGGGATGATGCTCCAACCGAGACACCCTGCCAAGGCTATCCTGGTTTGGCTCAGAGGATTGAGTATTTTCCCATGGACTGAGAGGCCCCCCAATCAATTCCTGGTCAGGGCACATGCCCAGGTTTTGGGCTCTATCCCCAGTAGGGGACATGGAGGAGGTAGCAGATCGATGTCTCTCTCTCACACAGATGTTTCTATCTCTCTCTCCCCTTTCCTCTCTCTCTAAAAAAAAAAAAAAAAAAATCAATAAGAACATTTTTTAAAGAACCTTAGCTGAAAGAGTCTAACAGTTAAAAAGTTATACTTAATTAAAAGGGAAAAAAAAGGCTATATAGGTTTTATTCAAAGAAAGACAGACCTTACCTACATGTATGTAAGTTAACTTAAGAGTATTTGTACCATAATATGTTGTTTAAATAATATGGCACTGTGGAATTCCATTATAACTACAGTCGACTCAAAATCAAGAAGGTTTAGAAAGAAGGAAAAAAAGATAGTAGTGGGAAAGGCTAAAAGGGACACAATCAATATGCCCAACATCACAAATCTGTTGTTTCCTCAGTTTCACAACTAAATAACTCCTAATATGGGCACCTCACTGCTCTGAGATAAACTATAGTGCTTAAAATTACACATTTTTCATGTAAATTGACCCATAAAAAGGCAAACTATTTCAACTGTTATTCAACTGAATAAAATATGGACTTTTTTCTTTTCTTTTCCACTAGAAATAAAACTGGATATGTGGCCATACTGAGAGTCTCTAGAGAAGTGCATAAATATTTTCATGTACATTGTGACATACAGGTAACTTAATGAATTGTTTAAAATAGACATTTAGGATATGTATGCTTTTTGTTTTGTTACTAACTACAGTTATTAGTCTTCAAATAAGATACACTTACAATATACAATTAGAAACAAAAAAGTATTTCCTACGTTAAACAAAAACTTTCTATTAGACTAAAAATTCAACAATGACTTTATAATAGGTAACCGAAGAAATAGCAGTTGAGTTTTTTTGTTTGTTTGTTTTTTAAGTCCTTACAATACTCTATGAGGCTCTGTATCAACATTTGGGAGAAGGAAACAGGGAAGAGAAACAACCATGATGAAACATAATAATGCTGGCTTTTTAAAACTGCTATTCAAGTGTCTCATAAAAGCCACAAATTTTTCACTAACCCAATTCTAAGAACACAGCATATATACTATCAAACAAGAAGCAGAAAAAGACTTTCAGAAGGTGGAGGGTCCAGTAAGCCTCATTCACTTGTTAACTGGAATACAAACAGATGCACTAACCCCAAGAAACGTAAAGAAAACTCCATGAACTCACATCATAATCAAACTGGTTATCACTAAAAACCAACAATAAAGAGATGCAGTCAGAGGATTAAAATTTTTTAAAAGATGCCTTATGTGCTAAGAAACAAAGATAAGGATGAAAATAGATTTCTCATGCAAACAATGTATGCTAGAAAACAGAAGAGAAAAATCTTTAAAGTACTAAAAAGAAAACAAAAAACATCAACCTAGAATTCTATGGTGAGCTCATATAACTTGCAAAAACAAAAGCAAAATAATTGCTTCTCAGATTTAAAAAAAAAGCGGAAAGAACTAATCACAGCAGATCAACACTAGAATAAATGCTCAAGACTGTCTTCTAGGCAGAAGAAAAGCAACAAAGGAAATGTAGATCTACACAAAGTAATCAAGAGAACTGGAAACAGTATTTACAAGAGTAAATATAAAGACTTTAAAATTTTTTAAATATCTTTATAAGTTAATTGATGATTTAACACAAAAATACTAATTTTGAGACTTATAAAATAGCAAAAAATTAAAATATGACAAAAATAGCACAAAAGCCGAAAGGGTAGGGGAATATTAGTATATAGTTACACGGTTCTTATACAATACTTGAAAATGGTAAAATGTCACGTGAAGGGAGAAGTAGTTATTAAAGATAAATGCTATAGCCCTGGCCAGTTTGGCTCAGCAGTTAGAGCGTCCGCCTGTGGACTAGAGAGTCCCTGGTTCGGTTTCCGCTAAGGGCACGTACCTCAGTTGCA